AACGCGCTGTATGAACACTGGTCTGTACTCCGTTGGCTTTTCCTTCCTGGCCACGTCAACAGGGGTTGAACGGGCCCTCCAGTCCTGTGGTTATATCCCCGTCGTCAATCCTGATCTCCCATGCAGGTTGGCAGCCAACTCCAACTAAACCCCGGCCAACTCTCACCCCCCTAGGTGACGCATGAGCGCATCTTTTCTCACCGCGATGACAATTGTTGTTGGCTGGGGGGTTTCTCGCTCATAGTGTACTTTATCCAACTCGTTCTCATGGGTGGGCTTTTGAGGGGACTTCCAACACATGGAGGATTATAGCCCCGTCACAAATCCACAACATCTTTGGCTGAACACCAGAGTCAAAGGCACGGTACTCGCCGAAATATCCCCCATGGTCGCGCGCAACCTAAACCCATGGATGGCATTCCGACCCCCTGCCCTTCCATGCATTTCAATGTTCCTCCTTCCCCCTTCCATCCACTTCACGCCTTACGACTTTTGCCATGTGATTACGGACACCGGCAGGTCACTCAAACTTGCAAGAGAGAAAGAGGCCTAAACCACCCACCCCCCACAATCCCGTCGGCGTCCGTACTTTGGAAAAAAGCTCAGCCGGCGGTCGGCGGCGGTGCTGACCGACTTCTCGCCAAATACGTCGCACATTGGTCGGTGCCGTTAGATGTAAACAGCGTTTTATAATATTGGCTCTTCGTGTGGCCGCCTTCCTGATGCGCAACTCTATGCATGTTTTTTTCGCGGACAACCCCTGCAACTCTTAAGCATCGACGACAACATTTTTTTCTGCTTTGTGGATACATCAGTTTTTAGAGGGCAGGTTCCAGGGATTGTGGCCTTTTCCTCAGGCTATAGGTTTTCGCAGTTGGTGCCGAAGAGAACGTATGTCCTTCGATATATTTGGGCGCACGTGAACAAATCATCGCGAATGTATGAGTACTCTGCATTATTACAGCTGATGCGAGATACCATACTTCGCAAAGAACACGATCTTCCAACCTGCGCTACACGCTACAAGCGCTGGTTCCGCGCACCCAAGGACTCCGCGGCCGTACTTTTGGGCGAGTTTCATTGCGCTAGAGTTAATTAATGACTAACCAAATCTCACGGGCCATGGCAAGAGTCGCCAGATCACTTTGTAAAGTCTACACGGATACGGAATAGGATATTCAATGGTAACTCAGTATAGCTGAGGCAGGTTACGGACAGCCCTAGAAGTTTAGTTTGAAATTAACTCGAGTCATCACTCCGTACGGAGTGCTGTCGGCCTCAGAGGGAACGGACGTTGTAACTTCCTAAGCTCCCCCGAAGCATGACTCATTTCGGCGACTTGCTTGCAACTAGAAGACACGTCTTGAATCTTAGCCGCTTCCTCTCTGCCGCCTATATGGCTGTCAGTAGTACGCACCTTTTCCGGTAATAACATGCCCTTCCCGGTGATGAGCGAGGTCAGACTTTTTCCCTTGTACGGGCTTTTGTTATAGTCTATAGAAAGAATGGGTATTTTGGGGGCGGGAAGGGAGAAAAAGTCTATGTTGTGGATTCCGGGGTTGGTTGTAGAGCTGTGGTGACTGGCGTCAGCATAGCCTCTATAGTAGGTGCCAGAAGTTTGGGATTCCCAGAAAACAATTCAAGGTTTGATGAGGCTGGGGCGGTTTATGATGATCATAAATGGAAACTCGGTAATAGGCAGTCCTTTCATTTCATCGTTGAACGGTATAGCCGTGCTCGATCAGGGAGGGTATCTATCAACCATTGGCGGCGATCATCACGAGCCGCAAGCCGTGAGGCTTCTCTAGTTGTACTCCATTCTATACATGCCACAATAGTCTTGGGAGGTATCCGTCCCAGAGTTCGCCCGCCTCGCCTCGAGAGCCTCTCTTCCTCCCCAGCCCGTGCCGCAACATCAAATTTCCGTATTGACCGGCAATCATTCACCGACCCCGGCCCCGTCCCCTGCCTCCTCCCCTTCCGCGTCCACCCCTCCCACCCCTCTTGCCGCCTCGAAACCCACCCCGATTATCGAATCTCTCGTAGAGCCTCTCCTCCCCAAATGCAGCCTGCCCGAACCTCATAAAGTTGACCAAGCCGCGATCCACGACGGCGACAAGAACGTTGCGGTAACCGTGTCTCAAGCGCTGGTACAGCTTTCCTGGCCCGCCCATCAAGACAGGATCGGGCGCGTCGTACGGTGTCGAGTCGAGTAGCGCCGAAATCTCTTCAATATCCGGGATCGCGTCGTCGCGCGCGTCAGCGACAGCGATGCGGATGTCTGGTGGTGGTAGGTCCGTCACACGAAGGTTGGGATGCTTCGAAGGCTTCCAGACGTGCCAATGGATCTTGTACGGGTCCTCGGCTTGCTTGGGCTCCTGAGGTGCGGGCGATGGCTGGTAGCGGGATAGGAGCTCGAGTTGTTTGTAGACGACGCTATATTGTCGATAGACGCCCGGCTTGACCAAGGGCCCGTAAGGCGGTGGCGTTGCGGGCGCCGCCGATGGTCTTTGAAGAAGTGAGACGAGCCATTGCCACAGTGATTTCTGCGGTGCTTCGGGTGTGGGCGTAGATTCTGTAGGTTCTGGCGGAACGCGTTGAACGTAGTATCCCAACCGTCTGAGGTGTGAGTAGACTTGGTATTTTGGAAGTGATATCTTGCCCCGTTCGCCGTCCAGTCCGATGAAGAATGAGTAGGCGGCTTGTAAGCTCAAGGGTACGCCAACGTCGAACTCGTCTTCGGGTTCTGCGTCTTCGGAATCTGTCTGCTCTTCAGCGGGCTTCGCCTCTGACGGCGGCAGAATCTCCTTGAGCTCGCGATACGGCCACCAAAGCTCCAAGCTACCCCTCTCCACAAGGAACAGCGCCTCCTCGGGCAACAGCCACAGCTTTCCCAACGCCGGTCTCGGCGTCTTGAGTCCTCGAATCACTCTGCCCATAGACCTCGCCTGCGGACCCTTCAGCTCCTCCACGACAACAACCCTCTCCTTGGCATAAATCGGCCTCGTCTCAGTCATGAACTCCTGCAGATACTCGGGCTTCGCCAACCCAGAAGTGTCCCCATCCTCGATGGCCTCCATGATCTCGGGCCAGTAGTCCGGGAAGTACCAGCCCTTGCTCCATGTATCTCTGTGCACTCTCGTGTATCCCAGCACCTCCTCAATGACCTGCCTGCTCGTCTCCAATGCATTCTCCTGGGCTTTCGTGCCGTGCGACTCAAAGTCCTTTTGACCCTTGCGGACGGCTTGCGAGGCGACGCCCTTCTTGTTGAACATGGATGCAAAGAGTCGCATGTCGAAGAGACCTTCGTCCTCAGCTTCGTCGCCTGCGCCCGAGTCATTGTTGAGCTGCGCCGCGGCCGGCGCCGCGGTGGGATTGTCGTCGTCGTCGAGGGGCATTTTCCTCTTCTTTTGGCAGGCGCTTCGATTTTTGGTTTTTTTGATTGCTGCCACAGACTGGGTTTCTTTTTCCTTTTATACCTCGGATCCGCGATCGATCGGTTTCCAACTTCGTTTTGCAGTCGGTGCTATGTCGAATTATTGTGCAGTTCAGGCTGGTGTTGCAGGTAGGTCGAGTGTGTCTCGGTGTGAGTCTTGGTTGGGAAGGATCCCTCCAGTGGGGGGGAAAAAAATTGGGTAAAGCTGCAGAAGGAGCTTGTGAGCTTTGACCAATGAGAGGTGTGCTGGGGTGTACAATAGAAATCAACCAAAAGGTTGAATAGATGTACATACCGTTGATCGCGAGGATGAAAAAGTCAAATTGCAATTGCACCGTAGGATGATGCATTAGCAATTCAACTACATTCATCCTGCATTGTGAGGATTGTTGCATCAATGATGAATCGGATCCGACGTATGACACGCCCAAAGATGCACTGTTGTTTGGTACCGCGTGTAGGTAAACGTCTACATTCGCTCGTTGCGCGCTGTGGCATGGAGATTCTGAGTGCATCAGCTAGCCAGTGATATACCATAATTGGATCGGCTATCAGTATTCTTTGAGTGCAATTCGAGCGTGTTCATTGTCTTTGGTCGAAGCGCTCGTTGGGATGGTGTTTCTCAGCTCAGCATGCCGTCTCTCCAACCATTGAAAGCCGCTCCGATATTTTCCTCTGTCAGCCCAGTTTTCTACCGTTTCTTCTCAGGGGGAAATTGATAGCAGGAGGCAAAGGCTGAGTAGAAGAGCACATTCGTCGCGAGGAAAGATTTCTTCTCGGGTGATATCAGCATCTTGTCGGATTTCTTCGTGTCGGCTCGGCTAGGAGCAAGGGTTTTCAGACAAGACTAGGTGAGAAGCAAAAGAGAAGCGGAAAACTGCGTCGGGCTTCATACTGGCTCCGCCGGGTCCTTCTCCAGAAACAGCCCAGCTGATAATAGCCTTCTGAGTCCTTACGTAGCCGAAATGACCCGAAAAAGGACGATTCGACAACAGAACCAGGTTTGACTTAGAAACTTGCACGTTGGCCCCGTTTGACAGACTGATGGTCTATTTATCGAAGTTGAGAGAGTTGACCCAGGGACTGATGCCGGTGGTGCGCATGGGTAGTGAGCGCCCCTGCTATCGATGAGCAGAGCGTTGGCATTGAAGACGAGAAAGGGTATCGGCGATGAAGGTTCAGGTGGCCGGCAGGGTGTGGGAGCTGGGCTGAGGGATGGTGTTTGATATCGAATCCTCAACGTCGTACTTTTCCCGAAAGACTCGCGTTTGTTGGCCTCTTATATTTCGCTTGTTTAGATCTGAAATTGCCGGTGGTTTTCATTTCCTCTTCTCTACCCATTGGGTTCCAGAAGGGAGCCGAAGAAAGACAAGACAGTGTGTGCAGATGCCGCATCTGCTCATACGCCTCCATCTGTGATTTTGTTTTTTTGCATTCTTCAAACTAGAAGTCATCAGTACTCGGGAACCATTGGGTGCCACGGGTTGAGAAGAACCAAGCGGCTTCACTTGCTCGCGGAGAACTTACTATGTTTGTGATTTGTTTTGAGTCTCAGGTAGGTCACCTACCTGGGGCAGTTTAGGGTCATGTCCAGGACCATACCGGCTTTGGTTCTATTTGCTAGAAGTGAGGGACCATCTTCCTGGAGCCTAGATTTGTTGACCAACAGTCCGATGTGGATGGGATCCGAGGTATAGGCCCTGACGAGCGCTGCGACGTTTTTGTGACGGCTGCCAAGGATTGCGACTTTCTTGATCTTCCAAGCTTCTTCATGACGCATCATGGAAGCGCGATGGCGATTTGGAGTACGGGAGTAGGCTGAAATGGATTGTTAGATTCATGTACAGGCGAACAACGTCAAGAATAGAATCCCAAGCTTACTGTAAGACCCTGCTTCTTTGCCTGGTCGTCTTCCAGGATAATCAGAAGACGTGCTTGATCAGAGGTTACGCCGCAATACCATTAGCTTTGCTGTAAATTATCAAAGGGAACCTCAGATCCATACCTTTGACTTAGTGCCAGTCCCCATAAGTCAGAGCTCCGTGCGAATCCGTTCATGTCGCTGCCTATGGCGGCTTCGCTATCGGATTCTTCGGGAAGATCATCTTGTCTTCCGTTCTTGATTATCAGCGACAGGCAATAGATTTGGCGAGCCGAGAAGATGGCAAGACAAGACAGTAGCGAGTCGAGTCGAAGAAGAGGGAGATCCACCAGCCCGAAAGCGTGAATCCACGCGAGGGAGGCCATGCCGCGGATTGCAGGTGCTCCCAGAGAGACTTTGAGGGAGGAAACAGACTTACCTCGATTGCGATGATGGAAATGCAAGAACGGCAAGATCGAATCTCCCGCGACCTGCGGAGCAGGTGATAAGTCGAAGGTGAGCGTGCGGAAAGAAAAGTAGAATGGGAAAGGCAGGGATGAGTCGCAACCAAACCACACAGACAGAGGTTGGAGAAGAGAGACTGCAAATTTTCTGGGGAAAAGTAGGACTTGTGGGAAGATCAAATGAAGAGGAGAACAGAATGCAGAGTAGGAAGGTGAAGGGTGCAAGAGGGCAGGAGGTACCGGGCAACTCCAGGCAAGAGGGAAGAGTGGGTCCGGAATATTTGACACCCTCACCACTGACTTGGAGATGCCTTCAATCACGTGGTAGAAATATCTTCCAGTCTCGCCTATCCATCAATGACTATTCATATCTCTGAATAAATGGATGCCTTGGTCTCTTAGGTTCCCACCCGGGTAGCTAGCTACCTTACCATATGAGAAATGCCCTTTGGTTTACCGGCAATATCCCCTCATCAACCTTCTTCACGGTTGAGAACCTCTCCGTCAGACTTCAACTATGAACAGTATCGGGCTAACATAATTTCACTTTTACTCGTGCCAGATATTCTAGCTTAACTCATCAAACATTCCCTTCTGAAGGGTACCGTAGGCTCTGTCCAAAGAGCGTGCGACGGATGGATCAGTCCCCGTGACGGCATACATCTATCTTCTCGGGCATCCATTCAGCCTACATCGCGCGCATCAGCACTACCGAAATCCCCCCCCCCCCCCAAAAAAAAAGCAGATAACTCCGGCGATATGTCACTTGTAGTAAGTAGGTTCAGTTCTACGTACCCCTTTTGAGGCGAGCGCGCTATTGGCATCAAGGTGGGCAGTGTCAATATACGCGCTTCCTGATAGTCATAGAACCAAACCAAGAAAACCGCCAACGAAAAAGTCAATATAATGTGACGAAAACCAACTGTTACTACCTGAAGACCTTCGTCTCTTACCAAATACCGTTTAGCGACTGTTTCGGTCTCTGCCCGCCTAGCTCTCGCCGCTTCCACTCGCCTTTCTAAATCTCGAAACGATTGCGTACTCCCAGTCCATCAAAGCGGAACATTGTAGCTTAACCAGAATCGAGACGCTTCTGTAGCCGCAACTGAAAGGGTATCAATCCTTCTGGTTTACGTGTCATTTCTCATTGAGGCAAGCCATGGGTACCAAAGACAACCACCGACAGCTCCCGCCATCATCGCCGGAATTTATCTCTCCCTGGGCCATTGAGATACTTCAGCCTTCTCAACAAAGATAAAGAACGAGATCGAAGTGAAGGTCAAGATTATTCTGCCGCCTGCATGTTCTCATCACATGGAAGCGTCATCTTCTGGAGAGAAGGTCGACATTAAGGCAACGTCCAAGCATCACCTAGCTTTCACAATCGACCTCGAAACATTCGACGATAGCTCAGGCTCTCGTCTAGAAAGTTGGAGAGAAATACACTCACTACTAGCTGGCCTTCCGAGAAGCTCAGGGATGATGGCAAGGGAATAACGACAGTGGCCAACAACCCATGGTTCCACCCCTACCGGAAGGCATTTCATCAGCCGACTGTGGGCAAGGCCTCGACTGAAGAGGGGCTCCAGACTGCTTTACAAGCATATCATAAGACATGATCAGTGATGATTATTGACTTATGTAGTCATCTGGATTGGTTAGTTGGTTCTTGGAGCGAGGCTGCCATCGAAGGGAGCAAAATAATCCAGGAGAAGATTACGGCAAGGTTGCTGGAGGAGGTGGATACAGCTAGCTCTATCAGCGAGAACAGATATCAAAGCTGGGAAGGCGTTCTCTTTCGTTTGGCGTTGCGACGGGATTCCTCCGCTAACATCGTCGCCCACCATCCGCTCCACACCATGGGGCCTCACATCGTGAGAAACGAACTACCCAAAACACCAAAAAGACATACAACACCAGGTATTCGCTGGTCGTCACCGACCCAACTACTAATCCGGCCCTCATTGGCTTGTCTATGGGAGAGCGGACGGGATCCCGAATTTTCCAATGGGTATGGTCGTATGTGGAAAAACGTGGTGTGTAAGTGGAGTATGATGCTTCGAGTCGAGCTGTGGCTACTCCTGAAGCGCTCAAACTTGGCGCAGTAAATGGACAAGATGTTAACAAAGGGCATTTAAAGCATTCCCATGCAATATACGAGGGGAAAAAGTCAGTTGCGGGCTAGAACAGTTGGTAGCGGGCCAAAGATGTCCATTGCGCTGAGATATTTGACCGTGGAGACGTAACATTTTTCTCACACTCATGTAGAGATATACAATTATCTTGGCTCGAGAAGATGTCAAACCACAATGGAATTCAGCAGGGAATGTGACTGGCTCATAGGCAAATGGGTAAGGTATGTGTTGGAAGTGAAGGTAGTCTTGATTTTGTCTCCTTATCTCGACTGGCAACTGGGCTGTCAGAATGTCGGTCGCTCGCTTGGTGTGAGGCGACTGCTCTCCATTGTCCGAGTATCGGAGTGGAAATGAATGAATGCGGCTGCCATCCAGACCAAAAAACACCATACACTAATCGTTCGATAACAAATAGGAGGAACCATGTCTTCGAAATTGGTAAGCTCTTGTAGCAAAAGCCGCCCTCGACCAGGCATCCTCCATGTGAGGAAAGAGCTTCACGTCAGCGACAGCCATTATGAGCGCACGAGCAACTCTAGAACAAAGTAAAAAACGATAATTCAATTGTCTTGACTTCTAAGGGAACATGAGTAGATTGAGTATCTAAGTAAGTGACTACCTGCCTCGGCGTCTCCCACCCTCTCTCTTACTCTCTTTGCCTATCCTGTAGATCCTGTACACAGATGCTTATCTCCCTAACTTAAATCTCTTGCCCTCAAAATCAGCCATCTCAAAAAACTAGCGATCATTTCACCTTTAACCTCAACGATATTTGGCCTCCAGAAGGGTGGCCAGACGTAGTGCGCACAAAGAGCGGTTGCTTGTGCCGAGAATCTCAGGAGAGAAAGGCTACCGACAAAAGAGCTTTCGAACAAATGGAATATAGAGCAGTATGGAATAAGTCTTGAGCGACTCAATCGTTCGCGTTTCAGAAGGCCACTGAGGAGAACCTCGCTCTGTTGAGGAAGCATGGCGGAGTGTTGAGAGCTGCCAGTCGTTGAAACGACTTTCTTCGCTATTAACTCAGTCAGATTGTATCCCTCGAGACTATTCCCAGAGGGAGAAGAACACTGTACTTGAACAGCCGGAGAGGAACGGGAGAGCCACTGATGGAGCTGTCGGACTGTCTCATCCGTTCGTGAAATCGACTCGTTCGAGGAGAAGCTCCCGTACAAGCATCGTCGAAGGGCAATCGCCAGGTGGAGTTTTCCCTGTCCGTCACCGCCGACTATTCCCTCACAGACTGGGTCACCGAAGGGGAGATGAACAGGTGGCAATGGGAACCAGAGCTGATCGACATCGCTGTATGGACTTACTGCTGAACAATCAACTGATTGCAACTCAGCTAACACAAGTCTCTAAGGCCAAGGTCAATGAATGCCACCCATGTGTCAATCTCAGCCAGCTTCTCAAGCCGTGTACTAGTCTCAAGGATCATGTGAAGGCAGCCATTCCTAGCATCGGAGCAATTGTGAAGGGCTCGCTGACTGCGGCTATTCTTGCAGACGAAATGTGCCTTAGCAGGACGTCCATCATAACGACCACCGGAGCCACAGGTGCGTCTCACGAAGGAGCCGTAATGATAGTAGCACCAAAACGTGCCATTGACGTGTTGAATTTCGAGTTGAATAGTCATTTCGGAAGGGGATGGTCTACGACCGTCTACCCCAGCAGAACCTCTGCTCAACTTGAGGAGGGACACAAGCCTCGGACGCTCGTCCTAGCAGTCAAGAACATGACTTCGGCAGAGTTCATTCAGGAGCAATGTCATTACTTTCTAGTCACTTATCAATACGTCTTAGGGAGATATGAAGGAAGTTGGGTCGCCACAAAATTGGAAGTCACGCTCCCCTAACTCGTTCCTGTCCATGATTCGATTCGGATCTCGATAAGGCGTGAAAAGGAGACTACCTCCTGCTCACAGCATCATGGAAACTCTGAGGTCTGGAATTTCTTGTTGTTTTAGGAGATAAAGCTCATTCACTATATGAATGACCTCACAGGCGAACTTGTCCATAAGGTCATGTGAATGCTCGACGTCAAGTCTGCACAGTCCCGGAGTAGAACGTCGCCGCCAGCAAAGCCCTTCAATATAAGGGACTGGTTTTGCTCTTCCAGCGCAAGAGTCCTTCTCACGGGTATTTCTTTGGGGTCTTTGGCGCATCGAACAGCATGAACCCTTCGAGTCAGCTTGTGGGATACCGTCTTTGGGCATTCAATGGTGTGTTCGTCTTCAAGCGAGCAGCCACCGTCCTCTATGCGCCGCGTCTTGGGGTTGCACAATTGAAATCGCCGTACTGACGTATAAATTTCAGGGAATCTCCATGTTCAAAAACAGGTCGACGGGCGTCGCACAAGTCCGCCACAAAGCCGTGCTGGGAACCGCTCCTCCTCAAGCCTGCGTCTTATCCTTCCCGCCGATTTTTACGTTGCTTGGGAGCAACTGCCGCGATAATGTCATCGGGACCAAAACGCCTCAGATAACGATGACAGAGATTAGAGTCACAACGTTGGCGATATGAATGACGACGAAGATGCTGTCGTTCATCTTGAATCGAGAGAGTAAAATGGTCTCCGAGCGTCTGCAGCAAGTGGCAAGAAGCAGAAGTTGGGCAATCTCAAGCCCGAGCAACTCCTCGAGGAGTCTAGTATTCAAACGACCCTTCAGGTCATCCGGGTCATTCTCGACAGAACTCCAGGCGCGAAGATTCTGGTTATTCCAGAGGTGCTCGAGGCCCTGTATTGCCGGGTTGTGGCTTTCATGTTAGGTGTCGGAAATGTTCAAACACGACAGACCATGTTCCAGTTCATTTGGATTATCGCCACCGACAGAAGGAAGGAAGCTGGAAGGAAGTCACTCTCTTTTCAAAGCCCCAGCGACATGTTGGTCACTTCCAGGGCCGTCGGTCAAAGTGTCATGATGACCAGTGCTCACCACGTCATCTGATGCAGGTATACAAGATCAAAATGGCAAGCTCTTTGATGGCAAGCCGGGTGGTTTGATGGGCAGATCGGAAGAACGCGGATATGGAAGAAGTTCCTCGAAAAATAATGAGAGACCACATCACGAGGCGGACTTGGTGGCGCGGCCAGTGCATCAGCAGTCAAGTCCTGGTCCGTTATCCCTACAACTTCAGGAATAACGACGCCCGTTCTGGGCATCGCTTCTCTTGTGGCTCATAGCAGAACCCTGGTAGCGACATAGACGTGGACAGCAAATGATATCTTTCGGTGAAGAGGGGAGGCTTTCGTCAGGCAAGGTGACACAAATTTCCCTTCCTTCTTGAAAGGATGGGAGGGGGGGTGAGGGTGAAGGGATGTCGGCTTGATGATACGTTGCGTAGTAAAGAAGGCCTTCAATGTTGGTTCAAGAGCATCCTCCAGTATGCATATAATGTCAGTGGCCAAAGATGTGTTGATGCCTCCAGTCTCTCAAACGTTCATGCTAGCGCATAGCTGTCGACACTTCGAGCTTTTCCATGCGTTTCTCAGAGTCTCTCTGTTCTCGTCAGGGTCTACTTCCCTGGGTCGTTCGCGGACGGGAAACAGGAAGGTTTACATCGTAGTCGCAGTACAAACCTTGGCGAACTCGCCCTCGACACCATGCTGGGTCTGCGAGCGAGGGTGAAAGGGAATGCGCCCCATGAGATGAGGCCAGGCTGAAATTGTTAAATCAGGCCGATTCCATCTCCTGGCGCCGAGAGGTCCTTTGACCAAGTGACAGTGGTGACGAACTCAATGCCATACACATTCTTGGGAATCAAAAACTCAACTTGGGTCGCCGAGGCCAGCCTTCGGAAATCCTATCAGTCATAAACCTATAGTAGCACTACTTTCGCCAGCACTCTATTAATGCTGTGCTCCGCGTTTAGTCTCTATATATCTATAATTATAACTTCTAATAAACTTATCATTTATACCATTAGCCTTATTATTAAAACTACCCATTACTAATATATTATGCCTCCCCGTATATATAAACAAAAGCCAGGGATAATTAAAATAATAAGGATAGTAGGGACAGCAGGGATAGTAGGTATAAAAAGGATAAAAGGGGCGGGAGGGACAAGAGTGGCGGGAGGGACAAGAGGGACGAGAGGAATAAGAAGAACGAGAGGGATAAGAGGGATAAAAGGGATAAGAGGGGTAGAAAAGAAGGTAAAAATAATAAGTATAAGAGAAATAATAAATATAATAAAAATAATTAAAATACCCTACTTATACGTAATTAAGTATTAGAGAAATAATACCCGCGACGGGCCATAGATAAGAATAGAGGATCGAGTAATAATAAAGTTGATAAAATTAGTTCGAGCAGTTTCTTATAGAAGATAGTGTCTATGATGCGAGGGGATCATTAAGATACTACTTCCAGTAAGGCATATTGAATGGACGAGGCCGATGACAAGGCGCAGTCTTGTTGCTTGGCTACTTTTTGCGGAGAGAGACAATGCGCCTTTAACTGGAGCGATCACGACGCCCTTGGGTAAAGGCAAACAGTGTCAAACCAATCTAATGAAAGTCAGTCAAATGTGTATCCCGTGTAAACAAGCGCCGCTTGTTAAGGCACGTCAGCTTGACGTGTACACAAGCGATCAAATACTTCTGTGGTTGAGCCATTAGGTCGAAGGGAATCTGAATGTCCTCGATGACTCCAGAAACATTGCCTTGAGAACAGTTGACTTGCGCATCCGTGAAGTGGACGAGACCGGTCGGCTATCGGCCGCTATCCCGCTTTTACCGACATACTCCGGTATGATTGGCCAATTTGCATTGGCCCCACTCGGGGCCGAGTACCATGGCTTCGCGCCACATTGGGAACGACCGGTCCGGAGTTTGCCATGCTAGCAAGGTGTAATCGCAATGTGATGCTGTCATGAAATGCTATGGATGTTTTGGACTTGAAGAATGCTCACGACATGAACATAAGTCTCGCTTCAGTTGTGTGTGCGATGCTAAGCGGGCTACCCCGGGGAAGCGCCGGATCTCGGGCTTGGCCGCCAACACTCAGATCTGGGGGTTTCTTCAACTAGACGATCACGTCGAGTGACAAAACCTCATCGTTGCGGAGAAGTAACAAGCTGAAGAAGGTTCCGATAACCTTATGTGAAACCTAATGGATGTCTGGAAAACTCCAACTTCTCAAGGTACTGGAAAGCTTCCTGATGTCATGGAATCGCGAATATGGCCAGGGCAGCTGGTCAACTAAGGCAGGTATGAGTTGTGCTGTGAGCTGTTGGTGCAGCTAAAGATGTTATCAGGAGGGAAATACTCTTGGTAGGATGTGGCTGAACGTGGCTGGCATAATCCATGCATGCATAACACATCCACCACAACAAGATCACATCTCTCCAATTTCTAGGAAACTAGAATGACTCTTCTCACTGTTGATACGTCTTCCTCCATGCTAGACATAAGCCACTTATTTAGTCGAAAGTGGTGACTTGCTTGGTGGGTGGTAACGCGCACTCGCTGTCACACCAGTTGAACAACCATTTGCATAAACAATGCATCTCAAAAGCAAAACAACCAGCACCTCTTACTGGCCCCATAAACACGGACCCGCATTGGGACTAGCGCATCCGTCCCATGCCACCAAGGTCAGCAAACCCCACCACTCCCCGCCTCACCGTTCGAACTCAGCCATCCGCATCAAAAACTGGCCCCCAGCCAACATAGATACGTTCCTGACCACAAAGATCATCAAATAAGATCAGGTAGAGTGGCCGAGTGGTTATGGCGCTGGTTTTAGGCTTACGTAATAGTTACCTTCACCAGTGGGAAACCGCGCGAGTTCGAATCTCGTCTCTATCATGATATCCTTTTGCTTTTTTGACATCTCAGCTAATGGGGAGATTGTGTATGAACTTTTGGTGGCTAGGCCTTTCCATTCTTCGTTTACATTCTCTTTCCTTGCCTAGAGCAGTATGTTTTTGCTTGGCATAGCCTGTTTCTCGGGGGTGCCGGGTTACTTTACGTATCGTCGAACCTAGACCTGAGATGCGGCTAGCCGCCCACCCATTCATTATTCCCGACAGCAAAGCCATGCGGCCATTCCAACAGCTGCGAATCGGGTAGGATGAGACGTGAAATTGTCTTTCGTCTCAGTGGTCACTGTCATATTGTTGCCCGCGCAGATCTCAGCAGATGAGTGTATGTCACGCTTGGCTACTATAATGCATCAAGGTATCTACTTTGCAGTAAGTGCCAGCAACTCTAATTCAGGTGTTCGCAAGCTGGAGTTTCCCAAGAAGACGAAAGACTCGACTTCTCGTAAACGCGTCTCGTCGCTGCTTCGCGGCTTTGATCGCATTGGTGTTAGCTAAAGAGGCAACACTTTCGTCTCTATCGTGGTAGGCATGCTGGTACGGCATGTTTGTCCCCAACGAGGAAGTGCTACCGACAGTGAAGTTGCACGTAATTGCAACAATGGAGTTACCCATAGAGCCAATCCAGTCTCAGAACAGAAAATATCACTCGGCATACCTTGATGATCCTCAATAGCCTCTTTCGGCTCGATGGCTTACCTTAGCTTGTAGCCTTCTCAGACAACAGTGCCTCCAGGCAATTCTCTTGCTCTTCTTCGAGTCCCTGGGTGTATCTGGGGACGCTCGCCTATGGTGTGTGCCCGATTCCACATCAACATCCCACCACAAACAAAGGGTGCCTCTGCAAGAGGCTCCATGTTACTGGACCTCTTCATACTGAGCCTCTTCAGGTATATTATATAGAGAATACACTTAAAGAACCGATCAGAAAGACTACTTATGATGACAGTGATAGTGACAGGGGCAGTGGCAAAGGTAGTGCTAGAGGAAGCTGTAGTAGTAGTTATTGAAATAGAGGCTCGAGATGTGTTGACATATGGGCAATCCTATTGCATACTCCAAAGGAAACAAACAGTATGCTAAGAAATAGACTGAACGCCAGCTCAAAGATTAAGCAGACTGGGATACGTCTGTAAGTCATAGCCACGGACTTTGAAAAGCAAGCCTCAGCTTCACAAGCTCGATGTTGCGAACATGTGACAAGGCGGCTGGCGTGGCATAATCACAGTGAGGTATAAAGCGAGAAGAACCTGCCCTTCGAGGATCTGCAAAGTAGTGGACCTCGATACCTGATACCTGATACCTTCATTTACAAAACCTTTGAGGCTAATAGAGCACTCTGACAATGGTTATTATCTCCGGCGACAGATCACACTTCTCCAGCCAACTTCATGATCAGAGGCGATTCCTCCGAGCTCATGGTATGAGGTCTGCCCATTGCAACGACCACATTTTGCAAAGCTGGACCCTATGTAGGTCAATCACGATGGCCAGTGAGGCCAGGAGGGCATACTGACACCGGTATCTCCATTCTAATCCAAATTCCTTGTCTGCCAGAATTCATGGGAGACTCACTCCGACGAGCTTTACCAGCATAGGCGAAGCTCAACCTTGGGCTTATGGGAGTGAACCACCCGAAACATGCTTGTGCTGAAGGTTGAACTCGGGCAGTATAGCACACCTCAGTCCGAAGGGTGGATGCATCCTCACTGTCCATGGAGTCTTCACATCAAACCCACCGAGTATTCCAATATTGATACTGCAGTATACGCATTACCCTGCATCGTATGTTCCTCAGGCCGACACGCCACTGGACGGCTCTCACCCAATCCTCTATAGGCACCAAAGACGCAACAGCTCTTAACAAGCACTGTCCGTTGTAGTCGATGGCCGAGCGGTACGATTCTATCGTATGTTGGCTCACGGTCCTACATAATGCCATGGATTGCTTGTTTTTTTCCTACAGAGACTACGGGTTCGAAT